CAGTCGATGGCCGTATATCCTTGAAATTGACACCTTTACTATCTTTGCCTGCGCCAATTGGCTCTTATTGAAGTCAATATCAACCTGCATAAAAAGAACAGCTACACCATAATTTGAGACTCGGTAAAAAATTATTAGGAAGTTATATAAGACCTGGTAAAAGAGATGCCATTTTCCCAAGATTGGGGTGGTATTTCAAATATAAGTCTTACTCATCAACTTTCAAACTTTCTTATTTTTATTGTAGGACTTACATCATAATAATTATAGAAAGTTATTTGGTCTATCAAATTAAGTATGAATTGTCCAATAAAATAAAGGTGAGCAAATATTAGAAACATTTTAATCACTATTGAAACGTGAATAGATCAAAAGATGATAAAATGAAAAAATAGAAATACTTTCATTTGCTAGTTATTGTAAGAAATCATTTCTACACCCAGAAATACAATACTTGTTAGCTTTAAATTGTTTTCAAGCTATGTCCCGGTGGTCGTACGGCAATATGGCTTTACTTCCAAACTCAACTGGGAGATTGTCTGCATCAATTGGGACCTCATGAATTCTACACTATTTTTGTTCTTTGGGCAAACAAATTTCAACTGGAATGTTTTTGTATCCATAAAGTATTCTACAACTTGCAATAAATGAACATTTCTAGATTAGCAAGGAGGAAAGATCAAATTTTCCTGAAAGTAAGGTTTCAGTTTCCTGACTGCAGTGATCAACGCAAGCACCAGTTGTTCAGTCAGACTGTATCTTGTCTCTGCACCTTTGAGGACTTGACTTAAGTAGTAGATTGGTTTCTGTGCCTTTGGGAATTCTTTGACAAGGATTGCGCCGACTGTCGGGGGCGACACCGCGAGGTAGAGACACAATACATCCCCCGGGCATGCGCTAGTTAAGATTGGAGGCTGGTGTAGTGATTTCTTCAAGGATTCCAACGACTCTTCGCACTCTTGCATCAACTCAAAATCCGTAGAGCCCCCTATGGCTTTGAAGAAATGGTAGCACTAATTTATCACCCAACTCATAAAACGGTTAAGGGCCACCACACGTCCTGTCAGCCGCTAAACCTCCTTTTTACTAGTTGGACTCTTTATTTCTAGTATCGCCTGCATTTTGTTGGGGTTCACCTCGATACCTCTCTAGGTGATCTTGAAGCCTAGGAACTTTCCACCAGCTGTACCAAAAACACATTTCTCTGGGTTGAACTTCAAGTTATTCTGTCGGGCCACATTAAACACCTTATGTAGACAGGTCACGTGGTCACGGGCCTTTACACTTTTCACCACCATGTCGTCGATGTAAGCTTCCATGATATTTTCGATCAACTCTTAAAAGACCTTATTCACATCCTCTGGTAGGTTGCCCCTGCGTTCTTTAGACCGAATAGCATAGCTGTGTAACAATAGGTCCCGGAATCCATGATAAATGACGTCTTCTCCTGGTCGTTCTCAACCATAGAGATTTGATGATACCCAAAAAATGTTTTCAAATAGCTAAGTCTTTCATGATCGGATGTGGTATCGACTAGATGGTCTATCCCGGGGAGCGAGTATGAGTCCTTTGGGGTACGCCTTATTGAGCCTGGTGTAATCCACGCACATGCACCATTTCCTATTTGACTTCTTCACCAACACGATGTTGGCCAGCCACTCGGGGCATTGTACCTCTCGGATGAAACCAGCTTATAGTAGCTTTTCCACCTCCGCTTTAACTACTCCTTACCTTTCGAGGGCGAGGTTCTTTTTCTTCTGCTTCACTGGTTTGGCTCCGAGTAGGACACCGAGGCGATGTTGTGCGATCGTTGGGATGATTTCAGTAATGTCGCTTAGGCTCCATGCGAAAACGTCCAGGTTATCTATCAGATATCTTATCAACTTCCCATTTTCTTCAGACTCGAAACCAGCCCTGATGCTAAACTCCCGTCCTTCTGATATCGAGATCTTTGCAATCATGTCAAGTGGTTCGATCCGCCTTCTTGGAGGCTTGACATCTAACATCTTGACTGGTGGTGCTCCTCCGGCAGTTATATTGTCGGCATAACATCTCCTAGATGCTTGCTGATCACCTCGCACGTACCCGACCCCCTACTGGTTGGGAATTTCATGAGCAGGTGATAGGTCGAAGGGATGGCTCTGACTACGTTCAGCAGTGGTTGACCATAGATTGCATTGTAGGCCATGGGGGTTTTGACAACTAGGAAGCTTGCCGCAATCACCACAGTAGTTGGGTATGTGTCGAGCGTGACTGGGAGCTCCACAATCGCTTCTGGAATTATTGTGGCCCCTCTAAAGCCCTGTAAGGGATGGTCACCATTTTTAACTTGTCAGGGGAAATCTTTAGGCCCAAAAAAGTATCGCATGTGAGTCATTCGCGGCACTTTTTCCATCGACCAATACCCTTTTGACGTTGAAATCAGCTATGTCACCTACTATCACCAAAGCATCATCATGGGTTGTGCTACACCTACCAAGTCTTCTTCACCAAAAGTGATACTCTTACTAAACC